CGTCGCCCGGCCCGAGGTAGGGCGCCAGGATGGTGAGGTTGGACACCACCAGGTGCCAGTGCGCCACGGGGTACGTGCCCGCACTCACCGTCCCCGCCTGCCCGTCCCAGGGAGCCGCCGCCGTCCCCCGGGCCAGGCTGTCCCGGCCGGAGGCCAGGATGTAGGCGGCATCGGCCCGCAGGGTCCCGAGGGCCTCTTTGGACGGGGAGGAGCCGGCGGCCTGCACCAGCGTCCTCTTCATTCTCTGCAGGTAGAGCTGCTCCAGGCAGTGCCTGCCCACGGAGTCGAAGCGAGCCGCCACCTTCTCGATCTTCCTCCAGCGGCGTGCTTCCACGCCCGGGAGCAGCGGGGGCAGGTCTGAGCGCTCCGGGGCCTCACCCTCGAGGGCCGCCGACGGCGCCGGGGTGCCATACCGGCTGCAGTTCAGGGCGAACGCGGCGTCCACCTGGGCCCAGGCCTGCGCCAGCAGCAGCACGGCGTCGCTGACCTTCTGCAGCCACAGCTCGGGGCCGGGGCCCCGGGGCGCCGGCAGGAGGCCCAGCAGCGGCTGCACCAGCTCGCGGAGCATCCGGTCCATGGCGGCCCGCGTCCGCCAGACCACGGGCAGGGGCGTGCCGGCGCCCGGGCACGGCGCGTGGACCAGCAGGCAGTGCAGCAGCGCGCTCAGGGACAGCGCCTGGAGGGCCGCGTCCACGTCGCCCCGCAGACGGGGCAGGACGGCGGCCTGGAACGTGTCCAGCACGAGGGCCCACGCGTCCAGGATCTGGCTGGGCGGCAGGTCCAGGAGGCAGTCGCGGAGGGCGGAGGCGGGGCCCGCGGCCAGCACCGGAGGCCTCGGTGCCTCGGGGGCGGCGGCCGGCCGGCAGACCACCCCCAGCACCCCCTCGAGCAGCCGCGGCAGCTGCCGGAGCCGGGCGTACGTCTGGAAGAGGGTGCGGAGAAGGGCCTCCTGGGCCCTCCTGGTCCGCGGCTCCGTCGCGTCGGCGCCCACCCACGCCGCGGCCAGCAGGCCGTCCAGGTCGGGCTCCAGGATGAGGTGGTTCAGCGACAGCAGCGCCCGGAGGCAGCGGAACCAGGCGGGCACGGAGGCCTGCGGGCGGCGGACCAGCAGCTCGGCCACGCGGCGGTAGAAGCGGAACTGGGCCTCCCCGTGGCGGATCTTGTCGGCCGCGATGTTGTAGATGTTGTTGCCGGCCACGGAGGTCAGCAGCTGCTCCACGGCCAGGAGCTCCGTGGTCCAGTCCGACGTGGACAGGCCCGGCTCCGACTCCGGCCCCTCGGGCAGGCGGGCCACCCGCAGGCAGCCGAAGAGCCGGGGCAGCAGCTGGAAGCACAGGAGCTGGGTGCCCTCCTGGAGGTAGGCGTCGAGGAAGAGCCTGTACAGCAAGGCCGCCGAGCCGGCCACAACGGCGGCACGGAGGGGCGGCTCGCAGAAGCCGGCGTCCGCCAGCCCGGCGATCACGGTGTCGGCGGGGGCCAGCAGGCTCTTCATGGCCCCCCTCTTGGCGTCCTCCGGCGGCGGCTGGTCCAGGAGCTCCTCCTTGTAGGACGCGAGCAGCTCGGGCTGGAAGGCCCCGCCGCGCAGCACGGCCTCCAGCTGGCTCCGGAGGTCCCGGCTCAGCGCCGGCCGCAGCTGGCCCGGCCCGGCCTGCGCCCATGTGCCCGCCGAGAGCAGGTGCCGGAGGAGCAGGCAGGGCTGGAGCAGGTGGCCGGTCAGCTCCCCGAAGGCCCGCCTTGGGTTGACCTGCTGCTGCTGGACCGAGAGGTACTGGCCCAGGGCCAGGTGGATGACCTCGAACAGCGGGGTCACCATGGCGGCGGCCTCCGGCTGCCGGCAGGCCGCCCAGCACAGCTGGCTCAGCAGGGCCACCAGCAGCTCCTGCCGGGCCGTGTAGGTGACCGCGAGGGCCGGCGTGGACAGGATGGCCTGGCAGCAGCTGAGCACCGCGCCGACGTGCCTCTGGGATCCCAAGAGGGAGAACTCGGCGATCCTCTCGTTGATGACCTGAGCGTTAGGAAAGCAAGCAAGCTCACAACTGGCCCTAAACCAACCCAACACCCCCCCCACACACACACACAAAATACAACAAATCAATCCACTCTCTCCTTGCCACTCCCTGGTGGAGGGGACAATTTGCATCTTAGCATTTTATTATGTAGGATTTTATTTCTTTCTCCCCCACCTTGACATTTCCTGCAAATTGATATCATCGACCCTAACACCAATAAGCCTCCAGCGCTGACAGGAAGTCGAGAGAGATGCATGTCACACACACAGCACCGCTCGAGGGAGGGATTCCCACCTTGACCAGGGAGATCTGGAGGGTGACCGTCTTTCCTTCCTTGAGGAGGCGCTGCAGCTTTTTGCTACGCAGAACATTATCTATATAGACCCACAGCCTTTCAACAATGTCCTCCCTCAGCTCCAGCTTCTTCTTATAAAAGGAGACCAGCGATTGCCTTGCCCAATCCAGTAAGACCTAAACGTGGGAGAAGAAGAAACAGACTCGGAAAATAAGCGAAGCTATTTGCGGGGAAATAAAAACGCCGGGCATCGACAGAGACAAACCAGGTCCCACCAGATCCCAATGCCAGGGGCACCCTCCCCTCTCACCCCCGCCTTCGGTAATAACCTACGACACAGATGCTTTCACATCGTAAAGTGATTATCATCACAGAATAAAAACAACTTGGTCTCATCTGAGGTAAAAAAAAAAAGCTTCATGCCGAGACCGGTGTGGCTCAGTGGCCAGAGCATCGGCCTGCAGACTGAAAGGTCCCAGGTTCGATTCCGGCCAAGGGCATGTACCTTGGTTGCGGGCACATCCCCGGTAGGGGGTGTGCAGGAGGCAGCTGATCGATGTCTCTCTCTCATCGATGTTTCTAACTCTCTATCCCTCTCTCTTCCTCTCTGTAAAAAAATCAATAAAAAATATATTTTTTTTAAAAAACTTCAAGTGAAAGCCTAGCAGTTTCTTCTAACTTCTCTATATAGTTATGCTCTATGTTTCCTTCCCCGGCTTTTTCTCTCTTCTTCTAACTTTTTTGTGTGTGTTTTTTTTTTTTTTTTACTAAATGTCAACATGCAGTCTCCATAACTGGGAATGATAGCAGGTTATAGAAACGTACGTTTCCCGTTAAACTTACTTGCTCTTTGTTGGGAAGGATGCACTGGTGGGAAATCCAAGCAAAGTGCGCTAGCTTTAGTTTATCTTCCCAGGAAGTTTTCTTGCTTTTAAGTTTAAGGGAAATGCCAGAATAAATGGCAGCCATTGCTCCACTTCACCTGCAATAGAACACGATGGAAAAAGTCAGGTCAAGGGCACACTCAACAGGCACCAGGAAATGAACATTACGAATCTTACTGTCTACATCACATGTGTCAAACACAAGGCCCGCGGGCCAAATCCGTCCCGCCAGGCCTTGCAATGTGGCCCGCACCGCGCTGTCATCACTGCACTCCGCTGCGTTTCCATCACAATGACAGTTTATGACTGTTCAGTAAACCATTCGGCCCGTGATTTAGGCTGGATTTTAGATTTTGGCCCCTTCTCTGATTGAGTTCGACACCCCTAGTCTACATAATACATATGTGTATATATATACACTGAGTGTCCAGATGATGATGATGATCTCTCAAAGCATCATAATCTATGCTCAAACATCGCATCCTCAAAGGTAAGTGAGTATGCATGAACTCAACTGGGCAAAACCCAAGGGAAGAAGATCCATTCATGCCGAAATCGGTGTTGCTCAGTGGATAGAGCGTTGGCCTGCGACTGAAGGGTCCCAGGTTTGATTCTGGTCAAGGGCATGTACCTTGATTGTGGGCACATCCCCAGGGGGGGGGGGGGGGCGTGTGCAGAAGGCAGCTGATGGATGTTTCTCTCTCACTGATGTTTCTAACTCTCTCTCCCTCTCCCTTCCTCTCTGTAAAAAGTAAATTATATATACCGTATATATAAATAAATACTCGCAGTCCATGCATGATTCTTATATAAAACTGTCAAACCGAAAGCATTTCCAGTTGGATCGCTTGCACTTTCTAAATAAATCCATGGGCTCTGAAATCCTACAGACCCCCCCTTCAGAACGTCCCCTCAACACGGAATGAGCAAACGCTGGTGAAGGGCGCTTGCATGGAGCGTTGTACCCCTCCCTCCACCGGACAGGCCGCGTCAGGCGCTGTCATTTTCCTGTTTTGTCAAAACGTCCAGCAGCACCCAACAACGAGTTCCTTTAACTCCCAAGTTCAGTAAGTTTGTAGCCATCGCCCGGGCTACAAGGTAGTTAAGTTACAAAGTGTCTGCACAACTGGCTACAAAGACGCCCAGGGACCCTCCTCCGGCATCTACCCCACGCTCGGCTCGGGGTACCCTCCCTCCAGCCGACCCAGCCCGAGGCGGACGGCGATCCCCGCGATTTCTCACGCAAAAGCTGCTCACGCGCGGCTACGGGCGGAATCCCGCCAAGGAGCGAGCACGACCCCGGGAGGGGCCGGGCCGGGGGCGGAGGGTCTCCCCCAAGGTAAGCGGCTCGCCTCGGGGTCCACCCTGAGTAGGGGCAGCGGGGCGGCGGGCCGTCCCCAGGTTGGGTGCTCCCCTCCAGGCGGATCCTGGTTCGGATCTAGCCTGCCCACGGTCCGCGGTCCGGGGTCCCCAGGTTGGGGCTCCCCTGTGGCCGGCGAGGATGGAGATCGGTCCCCAGGTTGGGGCTCACCTGTGGCCCCGGGCGGCCGGCGAGGAGGGAGATGGGTCCCCAGGTTGGGGCGCCCCTCCAGGCCCGGACGGACAGGGATCGCGGGCGAGGGCGGCCGTCGGGGCTCGGGGGCTGCTGCACCACGTGGGCCCGGCCCCGTTCCTTCCGACAGGCGGCGGCGGGCCGCGCGGGGCGGGGCGTGGCGAGGGGCGTGGCGCGCACGCCAGGCATCGTCAGCCGAGCGCCGAGGCGCCGCGCCCATTGGCGGAGACGGCGGCCCGAGCGGCCCAGCCCGCGCCGCGCGCTCCGCGTCCGTCCGTCAGTCATGGGGCGGCCGCCCAGAGCCGCGGCGGGGGCGGCGGGGCGCGGGGCGCGGGGGCCCGGCTGAGCCGCCCGGCGACGCGAGACCCTGCGGCGGGGACGCCGGAGGCGGAAGCGGCCCGATCCCGGAGGCGGCGGCGGCGGCGGCGGGGGGAGCCGGAGCCGCCTGGGATGCTCAGTGCGTGCGGGGCGCGCGCGGGCGGGGAGGCCGGGGCGGGGGTCGCGGGGCGGGCGGGCGCGCGCGCGGGCGGTGGCGGGGCCGGGGGCGCGCGGGCGGGCGGGCGCGGCGGCGGTGGGGGCGGGGCGGGCGGGGCCGGCGCTGCGCGGGCGCGGCGGCCGCGCCTCCGCCCTGGGCCTGCGAGTCCCGGGCGGGCGGGCGGGCGGCCGCGGGCGGCGTGGCCTGCGATCGGCGGCGGCACCTGGCCCGGGCGGCGGTGCGTTCCCGCGCGGGGTGGGTAGGTCCTGCCGGGTGCGGGGGCCGGACGATCGGCTCGGGACGGCCCGCCGGGCGTGGGGGCACCGGTCCCCATCTCCTTCTGGCGGAAGGAAGAAGGAAATGTCTTCGGGCCGAACTCCAGAGTCAGCTTCGCACATGGTGGTGGTGGGCGGAGGATGTGCAGCCGCTCCTGCCGGTGACAGGGAGATGGTCGGGGGGAGGCTGGTTGTGGGGGGTCACTGCCGGCGGATCCGCACCTGCAGGGCTCTCCGTGCGGGGCTTCCACGCCTGACAGCCAGGGGAGAGTGACTGGGGCGCTCAGGCGGGACTCGCGGTCCCCGGGCTTTTGGGACGCGTGTGGGGTGAGGCGTGGGTCCGCCGCGCGTGGATGGCGAGGACGGACAGGGGTGTCCTGTTAGACTTGGCGGAAGTGGAGCCCGGAGAGCTGGCTGCGTGCTCCCGGCACTTTGTGCGAGCGTCTGTCTGGGGCGTGCGCATCGCGGGGCGGGCGGGCGCGTGGGCTCCTAGGATCCCAAAAGGTGGGTGCCAACCCCGCGCCGTCCTAGATTTGACCTCTGACCTTGCAGGCTGGAGCCTGGGGATGATCCCTCAGGCTCAAGAGCAGCGTTTGGGTGCTGTGTTGGGCGGATCCGCAGGAGCGGAGGTTGCGGTCCGTAAGTTGACCCAAATGTGCCCTATACCTGAGTTGGGGGGGGGGGGGCCGCCGTGTCCCCCAGCCTAAGCCCGGGCTCTGTTTAAACATCTTGAAAAATGAGAGTAGGAAGGGGAGTTTGGCCACACTTTTAAACTCAGAGAAACTTGGCGAGGTGGGTGGGGGCTTGGGAACCACACAGGCCTGAGGTTACAACCATGGAACCATGCGACGTGGGTGGATCTGGGACAGGGGACCCCAGGCAGGACTAGGGTCGGCGGCCATGCCTGGCGTGGGGGGAGCACGCTGGGAGGATGGCCTGTTGGCTGTTACCCTTCCCCTTCTGTCAGAATGCCTGCCAGGTGCCTTGAGGGCCTGAGTTCCTTTGGTGACATGTGAAGTAAACAAGCTTTGGTTTTCGCTACCAAGATCCCATGCTTCCTGCTGCCTTGAAAGCCACTGTTAAACCAGAAAAACCAAAGCACTCTTCTTGGTGATTGGCGATGAGTCCGATGGGACGGTTCGGGGGCTCCTGCCTCTGAGCGGTGAGGACTGTGGGTGCTGCTTTCCCCCTGAAACTGGGTGCAGGTCTCACCTCGCTGCTCAGAAGCTGCGTGTGTATTGCGGGGGTCAGGGGCTTGTATGTGGTTGGGTGGTGTTGTTGTTTTTAATATATTTTTATTGATTTTAGAGAGGAAGTGAGAGAGAGACATCAGTAGGGAGAGAGAATCATTGCTGCCTCCCGCACACCCCACACTGGGCTCAAGCCTGCACCCCGGGCATGTTCCCCGACTGGGAATTAAACCGTGACCTCCTAGTTCATAGATTGGTGCTCAATCACTGAGCCATGCCAGCTGGGCTCAAGGAAGCGTTTGGAAGGAAGAGATGGTACAGCTGAGCTGAGCTGTGACGCGTGGCTGGGCCGTGGCCTAGTCAGGTTGGAGGGCCAGTGTGGGTGGCTCCAGTGATGCTCCATCCACTGAGCCAAACCGGCCAGGGCTCCCTCTCATTTTTTAACTTGAAGGAGGCTTAAGGAAGACGTACTGGCGAGACTTTGAAAACACCACAGAGACCTTCCATTCAGAAGTCTTTGTGTTTAGCAGGCTATTAAGTTTCCTTCTGGGAAGATGTATTGAAATGTATCTCTATCTTAGTGATCGGACAGTGTTTGTCAGTGATAAAAAGTAGCTCTTCTTTTTGTTTTGTTTCTTTAACAAAGTATTAGCGTTTAGTCATCAGAAATGTTTTGGGACACGTGGTGAGCTCACCTCTGAAAGCTGAGGTGCTGATGTTGATACACAGTAACAGCCACACTCCAGAGCTGTGCCGCCTGTCCATTATCCATTGCCCCGTGTGGTCACTTAAATTTAATGTAACTAAAATGTAGCATTCAGTTCCCTCATTGCACTGGTGTTTTGGGGGCTGGGGGCTACAGACTAAACAGTGTAGACCTAGAGCAGCTTTGTCAGTGCAGGAAGTCGAATTGGATAGTCCTGCTCGATGAAAAATTGGAGGTTGTTTCTCTCTCTCTCTCTCTCTCTCTCTTACTCTTTCTCTCTTTCTCTCTCTATCTATCAAGCCTTGCTCCCTTCTATTCTCTCTAAAAATCAGTGGGAAAATATCCTCGGGAAAAATCTCTCTCCAAGCACCCCTCCACTGACCATAGATAGCATTTGCATTTGAACTTGAGCGGGTGGAGTTAGGTGCCATCATCTTAAACGTGTGCTGGGTTCCCAGGAGTCTTTGCACCCCAGGCTCCTGTGGTTTCTCCTGAAAGGTTGTTACTATGAAGCAGGGAAATAATCATGTCCCCGATTTACAGAGCAACTTTGTTGGAGGATTCAATACACAGCGTGGGCTATTGACCCATGAGAAAGAGATACATATTGTGTGAGAATCCTCCTTTTAAATTCCAGAAATACGGATCATGGGACATACAGGGAAAAGTTCAATGATCACCTCTTTTTTACCTGGAAAAGTTAAGGCATTGTATGGAAGTTTAAAATCCTGGGAAATTCTGAAATTTCAACAAAGATATAATAATTATATCCAAACTCAATTTACATTTTAAAGACTTTTATCATTTAAAAGGCGAAGCAGGTTAACTTGAAATTACAATATATGTCTGAGACTCTCCAGTTACAGGTCTATTTTAAGGAGTTGGGTTTTTTTTTAATGTGTCCATTTATGGATATTATTACTATGGTAATCAATTGTGGGGGCGGGGACTGACTTCTCTACAGATCTTTATTTTATTTTTTATATATTTGTACTATTGTATTTTTTTTTTACAGAGGGAGAGGGATAGAGAGTCAGAAACATCGATGAGAGAGAAACATCCATCAGCTGCCTCCTGCACACCCCCCACTGGGGATGTGCCTGCAACCGAGGTACATGCCCTTGACCGGAATCGAACCTGGGACCCTTGAGTCTGCAGGCTGACACTCTATCCACTTAGCCAAACCAGCTAGAGCCAGATTTTTATTTTTTAGAATTTCTAAACATGTTTTTACTGACTTTTAGAAAGATAGAAACATCAATGTGAGAGAGAACCATGGATCAGTGCCGTGTTGTAAGCGCTCGTTCGGATCCATGGAAATGGCCATTTGGGGCCACTACCTTGGACAGGTTTGGTAAAATGAGGATTTACAAACCAGTTTCCAGCGGTCCCAAATGTGGCCAGATTTCCTTAGCTTCCCTATTCACGCCCTGCTGTTGACCCCCCTTCGGCTCTCCTATCTTCCCCCTTCCTCCCCCGCAGACCCACACACACATTGTCACACCCCGAGGACACTGTGTCGCCGCAGGGCCTGTTCCCGTGCCTCCGTGTTCCCATCTCCCACATCATTGTTCTTTAGAGATACGGTCCCTGACTCCCCCCTCTTGCTTGGAACACGGAGGGACACGTCGATACAAGGTACATCCCCATGGCGACGAGAGATGGGTCGTGGGAAATCTGGACAAGTTTTAGCCTCGGCTAAAATACGAGGAAATGGGGCTGCTTCGGGAGAGTTTGGAGATGGAACGTTCTTGAAGTTTGATGAAAAGCAGCTTTTAGCCGGAGGGCTGTGGGGGGAGAGCAAAGCTAATGGGTTGATGGAATAGCCCTGGCTTCAGGCCAAACTGGGACAGGCCTGTCGCCATCTCTCTGCCTTTAATTTTTTCCCCTCTACATATAACAATGAATCAGGGTCTTGGGGCTGAAAGTGTTTACACACACACACACACACACACACACACACACACACGATGCTTAAGTGTCGCCAGGTTAGGGACCCAGGAGGATCTTGGGAGCCGACAAACTGATACATTAGCTAACCACAGAGAAACTGGTCTGTCTGCATTGATGGACAGGTGCATGCGGAGCGGGGACCCCCACTCTCCAAGTAGCAGCAATTCTTACGTTAGCAATTACAGAGTCTTCACTTACAAATAACCGAAGCAAGAGGAACAGTTGTGATCATCTGAACAGTAAAGATTTATTAAATTTTGAAAAATAATAATAATGGAAGCCCTCGCCGGCGTGGCTCTCAGACGGAAGGGTTACACGTTCTATTCCCAGGTTGAGTCCCTGGCCCCCGTGGGGGCAACCAGTCGATATTTCTCTTGATGTTTCTCTCCCTCTCCCTTCCTCTCTGAAATCAATGAAGATATATTTATTTAAAAGGGGGGGGGGGGCGGGGAGCATAGCATTCCCTGTCCCCATTAGCAGCCTCTCCCTTTCCCGGCATCACTTCATCCAGTTCCTGAATTCCCCAGGCCTTTGCTTGGGTGCCGCCTCCCGCCTGCTTCTCGGCCTGGGGAGCCGGCAGGAGCCCAAAGGGCCCCACATCCCGCTGGTCTTGTGTGCGCGTTGAATGTGTCTAAGGAAAAGCTCGGGGTGGGTGGGGGAATCTGGGCGTTCAGTGGAGTCGGGGTGATCCACCGGCTGGTATTGGAGGAGTCGGTGTTATTAGCCACTTACGGGACTGGTTCTTTCTAGCATTGATTTGCCACGAGGGAGGCATCCCAGCTGGATGGGATGCGCCCCCAGATCCCTGACGGCCCCGTGTTCTGGTCCCCCCTCCCTCCAGGTCATGAAACGGGTGCGCACCGAGCAGATTCAGATGGCCGTCTCCTGCTACCTCAAGCGCCGGCAGTACGTGGACACCGACGGGTCCCTGAAGCAAGGCCTGCGCCTGTCCCAGACCCCCGAGGAGATGGCAGCCAACCTCACCGGTGGGTGCGGCCGCTCCGGGCCGGCGGCAGGAGGCAGGGGGAGGCACGGCAAGGTCCCTTCCGCTCCGAAGCCAATGAAAATATGTGTTTTTAAATACCTCCTTTGCCCGGCCGGTGTGGCTCAGTGGCTGAGTGTCGAACCAGGAGGTCACAGTTCATTTCCAGGTCAGGGCACAGGCCCGGGTTGCAGGCTCCATCCCCAGTAGGAGGCAGCCTATCCATGATTCTCCTCATTGATGTTTCTCTCTGAAATCAATAGAAATATCTGTTTAAAAGAATAATAATAATAATAATAATTCTTTCTCCATCCCTATCGTGTGCCTTCTCCTTAGTCCAATCAGAGTCCGGCTGTGCCAACATCGTGTCCGCGACCCCGTGCCAGGCCGAGCCCCAGCAGTATGAAGTGCAGTTCGGGCGGCTCCGGAACTTCCTCACGGGTGAGTCCTCAGCACCAGGAGCCTTTCCCGGGTTAGAACAAGTCCTGCGGCCCTAGCCAGTGTGGCTCAGTGGATAGAGCGTCGGCCTGCGGACTGAAAGGTCCCAGGTTCGATTCCGGTCAAGGGCATGTACCTTGGTTGCAGGCATATCCCCAGTAGGGGATGTGCAGGAGGCAACTAATGGATCTCATAGATGTTTCTAACTATCCTTCTGCCTTCCTCTCTAAAAAAATCAATAAAATATATATTTTAAATAAAAAATAGCCAAAACCGGTTTGGCTCAGTGGATAGAGCATCAGCCTAAGGATTCAAGGGTCCCCGGTTGGATTCCGGTCAAGGGCATGTACCTTGGTTGTGGGCGCATCCCCAGTGGGAGGTGTGCAGGAGGCGGACGATCAATGTTTCTCTCATCGATGTTTCTAACTCTCTATCCCTCTCCCTTCCTCTCTGTAAAAAATCAATAAAATATATTTAAAATAAATAAATAAGAAAATAGGGTCCCGACCCCGTGTTGTGTGCCGGGGGATGATGCTGACTGTCGAGCCCTCCCCCTTTCCGTTGTAGATTCCGACTCGCAGCACAGCCACGAAGTGATGCCCCTCCTGTACCCCCTCTTCGTCTACCTCCACCTGCACCTGGTCCAGAACAGCCCCAAGAGCACGGCCGAGAGCTTCTTCAGCCGCTTCCACGGCATGTTCCTGCAGAACGCCAGCCAGAAGGACGTGGTGGAGCAGCTGCAGGCCACGCAGACGCTCCAGGACATCCTGTCCAACCTCAAGCTGCGCGCCTTCCTGGACAACAAGTACGTGGTCCGCCTGCAGGAAGACAGCTACCACTACCTGATCCGCTACCTCCAGAGCGACAACAACGCCGCCCTGTGCCGGGTCCTCACGCTGCACATCCACCTGGACGTGCAGCCCGTCAAGAGGACCGACTACCAGCTCTACGCCGGCAGCGGCAGCGGCGGCAGCGGCGGGGGCGGCTCCTCGCGGGGCGAGGGCAGCGGCCTGGAGCCCGCCGACATGCCCGGCCCGATCCTGCAGAACGAGGCCGCGCTGGACGTCCTGCAGGAGAGCATCCGGCGCGTCAAGGAGGGCCCACCCTCGCTCACCACCATCTGCTTCTATGCCTTCTACCACACGGAGCAGCTGCTCAACGCCGCCGAGATCTCCCCCGACGGCAAGCTGCTGGCGGCCGGCTTCGACAACTCCTGCATCAAGCTCTGGAGCCTCCGGTCCAAGAAGCTGAAGGCCGAGCCGCACCAGGTGGACGTGTCCCGCATCCGCCTGGCCTGCGACGTCCTGGAAGAGGAGGTAGGGGTGGCGTTCTCCCTTCCCTGCGCCTGTCTCGCGCGTCTGCTTAGAATGTTCTTTCCAGACAGGACTGATCTTACCGAGAAGGGGCTTCTTGACTTCAAACCCTCATCCGATAGCAAACGAATGCTGGGTAGCCTGCAGCCATTGAATTATGCCCATGCCTAACCTCAGAAGAGATGAAAATTATTATTTTGGCAAAACCGGTGTGGCTCAGTGGATAGAGTATTGGCCTGCGGACGGAAGGGTCCCAGCTTCGATTCTGGTCAAGGGCGTGTGCCTTGGTTGCAGGCACATCCCCAGTGGGGGGTGTGCAGGAGGCAGCTGACCGATGTTTCTCTCTCATCATTGATGTTTCTGTCTCTGTCTCTGTCTCTTCCTCTCCCTTCTCTGAAATAAATTTAAAGTGTGTGTGTGTGTGTGTGTGTGTGTGTGTGTGTATTCGAGGCCCCGTGCATGAATCCGTGCATGGTGTGGGGTCCGGCCAGCCTGGCCAGGAGGAGCGGACATGGGCGGTTGGCCGGCCTGCCTGCTGGTCGAACTCCTGGTCGAGGGGACAATTTGCATATTAGCCTTTTATTCTATAGGATAGACACTGAGTGGCCAGATTCCTCCACCCCCAACCCCCGGATTTTGTGTCCCACGGAGACCACTAACCATCTCTTCTTCTGTCCCTTTGGGGCCCAGGAGGAGGAGGAGGAGGCCACGGGCACCGAGATGAAGACGCTGCGGGGGCACTGCGGGCCTGTGTACAGCACGCGCTTCCTGGCCGACAGCTCGGGGCTGCTGTCCTGCTCCGAGGACATGTCCATCCGGTACTGGGACCTGGGGACCTTCACCAACACCGTGCTGTACCAGGGCCACGCCTACCCAGTCTGGGACCTGGACATCAGCCCCTACAGCCTGTACTTCGCCAGCGGGTCCCACGACCGCACCGCGCGGCTGTGGTCCTTCGACCGGACGTACCCGCTGCGGATCTACGCGGGCCACCTGGCCGACGTGGACTGCGTCCGCTTCCACCCCAACTCCAACTACCTGGCCACCGGCTCCACCGACAAGACCGTGCGGCTGTGGAGCGCCCAGCAGGGCAACTCGGTGCGGCTGTTCACGGGCCACCGCGGCCCCGTGCTGTCGCTCGCCTTCTCCCCCAACGGCAAGTACCTGGCGTCGGCGGGCGAGGACCAGCGGCTCAAGCTGTGGGACCTGGCCTCCGGGAGCCTCTACAAGGAGCTGCGGGGCCACACGGACAACATCACCAGCCTGGCCTTCAGCCCCGACAGCAGCCTGGTGGCCTCGGCGTCCATGGACAACTCAGTGCGCATCTGGGACATCCGCAACAGCTTCTGCAGCGCGGCCGCCGACGGCTCGTCCGGCGAGCTGGTGGGCGTGTACACGGGCCAGATGAGCAACGTGCTGAGCGTGCAGTTCATGGCCTGCAACCTCCTCCTGGTGACGGGCATCACGCAGGAAAATCAGGAACATTGATTGATTTTTTTTTTTTTTTTTTTTTTTAACCCTCGTGGTGACGGACCGGGCGGCCGTGGGGCGAAGGCTCCAGGCTGCATCTTCCGATTGAATCACTGACTGACTGTGAAAGACTCCCCGCCCCTCCCATGTCCCTCACCCCTTCCTTGGTCTCTCCCCCCTCCCCCCAGTGTCGAGGACACGGGGGCGGGGCGGGAAGACGGACAGGTGGTGCTGGTGGTGATGAGTGGACTCAAGATCAAGAATGGAGATGCTCTGGAGGGGAGGGTGCACATTCTTCCAAAGATGCCCCCCCACACACAACGGCGAGAGCACCTCCTGTCTGTCTCCTCCTCCCCCCGCTTTGTGGAGTCATGATGCTGCTGACCTGATCTGCCAGGGCCCCGCTTTGGTCCCAGGAAGGTCGCAGGTCACAGCCTCTGGCGGGAAGGCAGGGGTGGGGACGCGGGACGAGGAAGGGGGGGTGAGGGTCATCCTTGGGAAGGCCGCTCCTCTCCCGTGACAGAAAGCAGGATTTTTATTATTGTTATTGTAATTATAGTAATTATTATTATTATTATTATGGAGGAGGGGAAGCCTGGCTCTGGCAGAGGCACCTCCCTGCTCTCCACCTTCAGGTCTGGCTCCTGGCACTGGGTCTGATGCTTGGCATTTGAGGTTCAGGGAATTCAAGGGCTCTGGGGGCGCAGTGTCTTGTGGGAAAGGGAGGACTTCTGGGCGACAGGTGGGACACCCGAAGGGTTCCTAGAAGCGGGTGCATCCAGGGGAGGAAGCTTCGGACTCGTGCAGTGATGGTGGGAAAGCGAGACCTCGTGGCTCACTTCTGTGAACAAGCGCCCCCCCTCCCTCTCCCCCCCTCCCCCGGAAATGTCGGGAAGAAATGGAAATAATGTGAGGTGATCAGTCCAGAGGCAGAGCTGTGGCTTTTTCGGCCTTTCGCTCCTTGAGGTCACAGCTCCCGCCTCCTGCATCGAAACAGCAGCTTGACAGACACTTTGTGAGACAAACTGTTAAGTCGAATGCACACGTCTAACCCCCACCCCCACCCCCACCCCCAGGATAACGCAAGGTCTGATTGGTGGGGAAAAAGGATTAAATCTTTCTGGTTTTTTTTTTTTTTTTCCTTCCTGAAAAAGAGTTATTTTGTATTTTGTTTTCTATTAAAATGTATTTAGTTTCCCAAAAAAGAAAAAAGTGTTGGCATCTCATTTAAGCTGTGAGGAGAGGCAGGTGTGGCCTCTCTCCAGGGGGAGCCAGGGCCTAGGCCTGACCAAGCCCCTCGGAGGGGCACCCTGATCCGCTCTTCACTGCTCAGCTTGTTTGGAATCACGCTTCCCTGGTGGTCACGTGGACCACCGATCACATTTAATACCGTGGATGCATCCCCGACTGCCGCCCGCCGACCGGAGACTACGTCTGTGTCGCCATCCAGAGTTATCTGGTGAGATTCTACGTCGTTTCCTCCTCTGAAGACACCGTTATGGAATCGCTCAGGGGGTGTTAC